AGAACTTGCTAATGGCTCAGTAATTCAGTAACTGGAGTATATTCTCATTTGATGTTAATATGTGTTGCTCAACTGGCTCCAAAGGAGCTGCTCTGACTTACACCTGCAAAGCATTGGACTTTGTTTTCTGCTGATAGCAGTGCCAGAATTATCAGAGCAAAATGCAAAAAAAAAAAAAAAAAAAAAAAAAGGCAATTAGGGAATAAACTGATCATTGCAAATGTTTCTTTCTAATACCAGGCAGGTACTGGTTGGGTTCTGCTCTGAAGGTTTATATCTAATAAGAGCTTCTGCCCAACTCTATTTCTGCTGTGCACTGCTGCTGTATTATAGCCCAAAGCAGGTGGCTCTCCAGCCTGGAGTGAAGTCATTCCTCAATGCTTACAGCTTGAAAAGCATTTTAGGCTCCTCTGAGATGAAAGGCACTCCATGACATATTTTGGGAATCAATGTATGAAATGATTCATGCAAATAAGAGGGCTTCCTGAACACCTTTTTTTTTTTTTTTTTTTTTCTTCTTTCATAAGAAGGAATATTTTACTATTTCAGAACTTTTTTTTTTCTTGTACTTACACTTGTTTTTTATTTTTTTTCAGCAAATGTGAGATATTTTCCTCATCTTTTCCTTTTCTCATGACTCGTGGCTGCAAGGTGTGACATTTTAGTCCAACTCCAGAATCTTTTTTTATGCTGAGCATATCATGTTTTTCTAAGGCTGTCCTTATTTCAGGCTGGATTGCAAGTGTTTCATCTGCATCTCAAAGCTGAATCCTAATAACTTTGTCAGAGACAGACTTGCAGTTAAGCCTCTTCCTGATTTATTTATCTTTTTAAGCATAAAAGTATTTTCAATCAGATATACTAAGAAAGTAAGCTACTTTGCTGGTGTAGAATTGTACATGAACGGTGTGTTTCCTGGCATCTTTCTGGCCTTTCTCCCAGGGCTGGCTGGTGACATTTCTGGGTCTTCCTAGAGGTTTGACATAGCTGTTTTCTCCTCCTCCATCCTTTTTGAAAGCGATGCACTGTCTTTTCTCAGTAGACAAGACAGCATTGCACAGTGAACTGTTAGTGCAAGCTGTTGAGGGCAAGAGGAGTGGCAAACACCTTTTCTCCATCTGCCCTCCATACTTCCTTGTCCAGCCTCCTCCATTCCCTCTGTTTGCCCCTTTGCTAAGCAGAGGTAATGGTTGAAGGTTAGTGTGAATGGCAATGCAGTGTTAATCCGTGGGCCCAGGAGAGAAACGAGTCCTGTTGTAATTCTCTAACAGAGCAAAAAGCCTAAATGCCATACTGATGAGTGCAACGCTGCTCATTGCGAAGAGAGAGAGGTGGCACGAGCATCATCTGTGTCTGGCTGCAGTCTGATTGACTGTGAATTTAAAGATGTTGTTAACAGTGAAGCTTATGAAAACATTGCCCCATATTATATTATATTATATATCCCTGTTCTGTGCTGCCTATGCTGTTGCTAAAGTTCAGTCATCTGAATTATATATTTCCGTGCCTGTGTCTACTTCTGTTCAGTTTTTGTTGGAAAAGTTAAGCTGTTTCTGAGACCACAGTTAAAAACTATTTTTCCTGAGCTGTAATGTTTCTTACTAATCTCTGGCCAACGAGAGTTACCATTGCTGCGGTCTGCCACAGCGATCAGAAATTAGGTGAGAGGGCCATGTTAGCATCATGGATGTGATTTTAGCTGTCGTCATGAAAATCCCCTCGCATTTGGATAAATTATGGGTTGTTGAAAAATGTTGTTTTACATGTTCAGCAGTGGAGCTGTTAAATTTTTGAGGTGACAAAGGTCAGGCATGCAGAATAGGGAAATATTATGCTTCTTCGTTTGCAGCTTTTGCAAATCAAAGGCCGTGGGTGGTTTGGAAGCACTGCAGCAATGGGTGGTTTTAGCAAGGATACAGAAGGATACAGCTATCATAACCCTTTCCTCCCCAAAAATCCGTGATGGTATGGGAAAAATTATGTGAAATAAAAGGAAGACTAAGAGAAGGAACCACAGCCTGCACCAGCATTGATGAGACTGGCAATGTCAGTAGGAGAATGATGATAGGAATGAACCATGGGGAAGTTACATGTGTCACTGCTACTTACTGCCTTCAAGTGACTGCAGAAAGGTGCTGGGGTTTCCGTGTCTTGAGTCCAGAGGTAACCAAGGGATGTGCAGCAGAACTGCTGTACTGGCTGCAATCCCAAAGGTTTTTCAAGATGACACTGCTACCATGCAGAGGCAGCTTTTGTATAGGGCACCAGTACAGGAAGAGAGCAAGAGGAGGCCGGCAGTCAGTATTGAAGAAGAATTTGAGAAAATGGATTCATGCATGGGAATCTGTGATGGTGATATTGGCTTAAACTTCAGTCTGATGCAACAGATAATGAACAGGTACATGGCCAAATTTTCTAGGCTTTCCCTGCTGAGGAGGCTCCCTCCCACAGACCACAAGATTACAGACAAAACACCCCCCTGGTGTGACCGTAAATGCTCCGTCCAGCCTGGGGTCAGCCAGAATCTCCCCTGCAACTCTTTCTGCCATCTCTTGTGAACATGAGGCCAAGTTCTGAAAGCAGGGAGATTGCAACTCCTGTGCTTTCAGTGTTGTGTGTAAGTATTGAGTACGAGGAGGAAACTGCTGGGATAAAGTGCAGAAGCAACAGGTATGTGGGTAGAGAATCATGGAGTAATAAGAATTGCAAGTATGTGAGTGCAATTTTAGATGCAAATATTAAAAAAGGCCCAAATGAAGAAGGAGGGATAGAGTGGGAGTGATTTTCCCAGAAGGTTGTGTAATTATTCATGAGGGATGAGGCTGTAAGAATCAATCATGACTATGTAGGAAGGTTTTATCTGTAGGATCCTCACCTCCCTGCTTGCTGAAGTTGGAAGGTATGAGATAACTATTATATAATTAAAGACGTGGCTGTAATGATTAATGTAAAATGGAACCGAGTTAAAGTTATGAGGACATGTTGATCGTTATTATTATGTAATTGAATATTTGACTGTATCAGAAAACTCCAACAATTAAAGGTATTCCAAGGGCCTACTTAAAGAAAAAGAAGTTGGCTACATGCTGGCTAATACCACAATGGCAACAGAATCAAACAAGACCAAGAAAAGAAAAAAAAAGTTATTTAAATTGCATTAATTTTAAATGCCACCCTAAAACCAAACAAAACTTATAATTGAAACTAGATTTCTAAAAAATTATGTTAATAAAAACTAAAGTAAATAAATCAAGTGAGTATGGTTTTCTGTCTTAGGATAAAGACTTGTTACAAGTTAATGTTTTCACAGGCACACAAGTGGCTTTCATTTCAGAGGATGATTTGCTTAGGGCCTTGAAGCTGAATGTCTGGTGAGATTCCTCTTGCCTTTTTTAGACACCTAATAATCATCATTTTTAATTTAATCTAGTTGTCTTAGGCTAGCCCTAGAATCATTGAAGAGAAATGGCACCTTCAGAGAGAAAGTCACTTTCCTCTGTCTTGGATGCCAGTCTTACCGTAAGATGACTTGTCCTTAAAAGATGCCTATTCATCTCCATTACTTATAAAAGGAGCTTAAGATAACTAAGACTTGAATAATCCACTTTCAGGTGATTAAAGACATGAAATAAATCCTGCCAGTCTTGGTATCGGACATAAGGCATCTACATTTTTAAATTGTAGCCCAAATAGCTACTTTGTAAGGCCATATCGAAACAACCTACAGTTGCAAATCGTGGTCTGTACCCTTGAAGCGTTAGCTCTTGAAAAGGTTGGACAAGCAGTGCAGGCACATGTTGGCAGGAAGCAAAGATTCAAACCTTGCTTTTGGTGGTGTGCAGGAAGGACTCTGTGAACTGTCTCCCATGCTTTGCCAAAGTGGCATCTTTTCTCTTGGTTCAACCCTATTGCAACTTTGGGATTCTCTTCAGGGCCTCCTTGGGATTTATCTCTAAACATGTGTTTGTTTGATTGTAACATTTCTCTTTCCAGCATATGGATATCCCATGTAATTGCCCTTTTCAGGTTCTTAAGCTGTTCAGATCAGGATCCAAAACACTTAGACTGAATTCAGAAGAAGGGGATGAGAAACAAGAAATGTGCCAGCAGGATTTTTTAACCTTTTTCTCCAAAGCCTTCTTACTCTTCTTGCTTGAGACTGTACAGCTGTCTTGGTACGTGCACTCTCTTACCTGATTCCTTCCTCACCCTTGTTCTAGATGCCAGAATCAGCATTTCTGGCTTGGCAGTTCTGACAAGGTGGCAAAACTGTTTGCTAATGGTGTGCTGGCAGGCAGATAGGAAGGGCTGGTTAGACAAGAGAGGGGATGGGAATGCAGCTGGTCTCCCGAAGGTAAGAGGGATTCCTGCTTTCATGGTACCTATTCTCTTATTTACTTGGGCAGGGTGACAGGCCTTTCTCCTGGGTGCATCAGTACATGCAGCAGGGCCAGAAGAAAGTTTCACTGAACATGTGGCTGTGAGGAAGATGTGATCACACTCTCCTGAAGCATGCCCACAGGGGGTTCTTCTGGAGTACCTCCTGGTACCTTCTTGTGTAGCTTGGTTCCCTTTTCTGCCCCTGGCCTAAGTTCCAGGATCTGCATGCAACTTTTGAACTTCCAAACTTGTTTGCTGGCTGGAAGGAGGCATGCACCCCTCTGTTGCAGCTGCAATCTCAAATGGTAAAACAAACCAGAAAACTAGTTTCTGCTGAATGCAGGAGAAGGGTTGTTATCCCTATCTTTGGAATTGCCATCAGTTCAGAAGTTGCTGTTGTTTTCAGACATTTTATGAAGAATATAGAAAATATATTTTTCCTTCCCCTGTTGTTCTGTTGGTAATGAAACCTCTTTTTGAGCACTGATCAGAAAAAACAAATCCAGAGTAAGGCTAAGGGTTTGTGGTTGGAGAGTCCACATAGCACCGAGTGGTAGTTTACTCTTACAAAAATTCCCCTTTTGTTTTTACACATCACCTTGGAGCTGGCTGACCACATCGATGGTTTCACTATTTTACTTTACAATCACAGATTTCTTTCCCCTCATTTATTGAGATCTCTACATTTCCAAGTAGGGCATCTTTTATGCAACATCAAACCGAACAGATACAATTAATTCTGAGACGTTAAATATATGTATGAGAATTGCAATGACTTTTCAAACATGAAACTTCAACAATTCAAAATTATTTTGCTGAATGAGATGACTCATTATGCCTGAGAAAAAAGATACTGTAATTTTGTTGTATTTTCCTGTCATTAAGAAAATATTATGCTTCAAGCAGATGAAGGACAGCAAAATATGCAGACTCAATATTAAAGGATAGTGGTAGCAAAGAGAAGCACTTTACGTTTGCTCACAGGTATGTATGAGTGTGCTTTAGCATCTACTTTTTGTTTCTTTAAAAAGAAAAAAAGATACCAATCTTGGGGAACAAAGTAGAGCTGTGGTTTGTGAAAGGCAGGCCTGAACACATCAGTGTCTTCAATCTACCGCTTCCATGTCTGTATCCCCTGTTTGCTCTGCAGGCTGACCTTGGGCAGACTGCTCTGCTAGGTCTTCCATACGTTCTGCAGCTTTTGGTGGACTTGTTGTGGTTGCTGGCATATTCCCAAGGGGAGCAGGTATGTTTTGAGTGGGTGTTGGCATGCTTTCAGGGGTGGCTGGCATGTTTTCAATGGGTTTTGCCTCATTCCCAGTGGGAACTGGCATGGTTTCGGGAGGTATTGGCACACTTTCTGTGGGTGCTGGCACCCTTTCTGGGAGTGTGGGCATGTTTTTGGTGGGCTTTGGCACATTCTTGGTGGGTGTTGTATTTTCAGTGGGTGCTGGCACATGCTCAGGAGGTGTTGATGTGCTTGTGCTGGGCTGCTCATGGAGATTCCCAGCCTCTGACCATGGAGTGAGATGAGAGGGGAGCTCTGGCTCTGAGATGTCATTACATGTTTGAGCATCATGGGGCTCTGGGTTGCTGCTGTTGCTTGGGAGGGGCTCATCCACCTTGTGGGACACCCTGAAAGCCTCAGCCAGCTCCTTTAGCATGCTATCATCAGTGGCACGCAACTCAATGCTTGCCTGCTCAGAGGAGGAAGGATTTGTATCAGCATCATCTTCTTCTTCTTCTAAGATGTCATTTCCATTCACCTCTTCAGGGAACTGTGCTTGTTTTATTTTTTTGTACAACTCATTCCTTTCTTCCTGCAGAGCTCGGCAAAGGTTCTCTAGTCTCTGGATTTTCAGCACAAAGCACTCATATTCCTTGGTCCTCATGGCTTTCTGTGGTCAAAGACATTAGACAAAGGCATGGGCTAAGTTTGTGTGCATGCAAATCATTGGTGGAATTGGCAATTAGAAAATAATTTGAGATCTAGGCAGCCCTCACAGGACTCTTTGAGGTAGCTGGCTTTCACTAATTGCTCTACAATAACTATGGTCTGAGGCTGCAAGAGGAAATTCACCCGCTATTACTATAGTTTATCAAAATTCTCCATACAGATTTAGATCAATTTCATCCCAAAATGTTTGAAGGAATACCCTTTGATAACCTGTACAGATGGAAGAACATACTATATGTTCATATAGATATGCATCCAAAAGCCTACCTGGGTTTCTGGTGGGGCTGGATGTGAATTTGGAAGGGAGGAGGGGGAAGTTGTGTTACGTTTTTATTATATTTTTCTTCTGGGTTCTGTGAGAGTAGTAGCCTGAAAAGGAGTATTTTATTGCTTTTACACCCAGTGAGGAACCAAGAGATACAAAAAAATCCATAAAAATAAATACAGTAAAGAGCTTCAGGCTAACCAGCAAGACCTGGCCCAAGTTTAGTGTAAGTCTGGAGTGAAACTTCAGGCAGCTTCTTATCTTATTTGAATGAGTTCCAGCATGCTTACTAATTTCCTCTGCACCGCCTCTGTGAGAGCATGTTTCAAATTACAATGAGCCACAGTGCTTGCTTTTGGCTCTTAGAGTTTGTCTACACCAGAAGTTAACGAAAGGTGTGAATGTAAAGTTCATTAGGGCACGTTAATTCCCTGGGTGGATGCTCTTATGCAGAAAGAAAGTAGCATGAAGTGAACTAATGCCAATTTGCTTCTCTGTTACAGCGTTCAGTTATGCATTTTTAGAGCACTTAAAATTCACAGTTACATAATTCAGTTTCTCATGGACATAATGCATATTTCTGCACGATCTAAAAGTCTCAGCAGATGTGAATTTTGTCTTTCTCTTTAAAGCGATCTTATTATCAAGGTAGCTTGGAAAAAAAAAAAAAAAAAAACAACTCTTAGAATCAAGAACAGTTTTAAATTGACTTTTGGCAGTTTCAGATCATTGCATTTCCCAGTTAAAGCATTATATGGTGGAAGGGGTGCATCATGAGAAGAAAAAGAACACTCACCTCTTCAATCATGTCCAGTAATGCTCTGTTACAGTTCTCAAACCTGGATTTCCATGTAGCAGTATCCTTTTCCAATTTCTTCATTTTCTTTGTCATCTATATAGAATCGGGAAGAAAAGCTGAATCTCAACAGGGATCCCACACTGCAAATGGAATTAGGGCAGCCCTTTGGCTGTACTCATAACTCTGCTCTCCAAAATATGCAGAAATGTCCTCATCCCAGATGAAATTATTGCAGTGAGAAATACCAAAATTTAAAAGGAGAGAGCCAAGTACAGAGTTCAGATATGAGCAGCTACTCACTTTCTCCATCTCCTGTTTGAAAGTGGCAAACACTTCAGTTGCTTTTGGTCAATGTTTTCTGAAATTCTTCAAACCTTTCAGAGTAGAGAGTGATCTACATCAATGGGAAAAATAAAAACACAGAGTGATTCCAGAGACACCAGAACAGTGAACTGAATGATGATACTTCGCTTTGTTAGATAATAAAAGGGGTGTTGTTTTTTGCCATGTAAATGTTTGGAGACCATGAAGCACCAACAACATAAGTGAACTAAAACTCTGTATCTTTTTAAGGTGGCAAATTATTATGATGCCTCTGTTGCAGAAAGACAATCTGAGGAAGAATAGAAAGACACAGGCCAGTGATTTTAAAAAGACCTAGGTAATTATGCATGCTGTATGTGAATTTTGCAGCTGTGGTGCCCCTGTGCAGGTTGACCAGAAATGAAAAACTTCCCTAGAAGTGGAGACTAGTGGAAACATTTCCCTAAGTAACTCCTTGGAGACTTCAGGAGGACAGCATTAAATCTGAGTGGATTTTCATTCCCTTGCTTTCCTCACAAGCCCTATATGCAATTGTGGCTGAGATCTGCAGGAGAAGACTCCTAGGATGACCTGCTGAATCAAAGACAATGTGATAACTGAGCCATCTCTGTGGGTGCACTGGGCTACTGGAACATGGGCAGGGACTATCCTGAGCTGTTCTGACCACTGATGCTGTGCAGGACCAGGCAGCGGGGTTAGCTCCAGGTAAGAGTCAGAGCTGTGCCCGAGCTAACATTAAGCCCTGCTTATCCACCTGTTCACCCAGCATCTCGATTACCTGACAAACCAGGCTGGGAGCTATGTGCCAGCCTAGCTACACTGCTGCTGACATCTGAACAATCTAGGGGTGAGGCATCCCTGCATCATGTTGCAGCCACGGTTTCCCCTCTCTCATCTTTCCAGTCCCCACTTGCGGAACAAGTCATGGACAGCAGTGGCATCAGGCAGCGCTTGATGCTTCACTGGATACGACCTCAGAAGGAAAGCATCTCTGCTCTCCTCCTATGTTATCTGACATGGGATCAGCCCTGCTGCTGAGTGAAGCCCACCTTGGCATCATGCCACCATGATCCTGCTCTGGGTGCTGCCAACCTGCATCCCAGCACCATGACACGGGAGAGCTGGGAGGGCACCCTGTCAGCTCTGCTTTGCAGCCTGCGTGTGTGCTCCAGCTGCAGGCAAGGCCAGCAAAGGTGGAGAAAATAATTTCCTGGCAACCTCTTCTGCCAGCTTCAATTCACTTCATAAAGCAGACCAGGAGAGAAAAAAAAAAAAAAAAAAAAAAAAAAGAAAAAAAAGTCTTTTGTTTGCGATGTGCCAGCATTTAAGACTAGTAGGGGTCTGTATTTTGCTTATCAGTTTGCCTCTGGTAGCCATGTGAAAATTCATCTGTGTCTGCATTTTGTCAGTAAACCATACTTACATGTTCTTCTATCTAAAATCTGTGGATGTTTTTGAAAAATCTGTTCTGAAGATCTGAGACTATTTTTTCAAAGTACTCTCAAAGCTCCAAAACCATGCAGGATGCTATATAAAGTACATCTGGGCTTTTCTGAAAAGAAGACGACCACTCCCAGCTCAGACACTTCATCCTGGTTCCCAGGCATGCCCAGCAATGCTGAGGTGATCGGACAGTTCATCTGTCCAGCCTGACAACTCTCATTAGAGATGGTGAAACTGGCATGGCACACACTGCCTGGGACAGGGTGGGCGCAGAGGAGACGGGGACTCCAAGCAGCCAGGGAGCTGCCACCCATGGGGAGCTGATGAAAAGATTAACTGGGAGCTTTATTTCCTGTGGTGCCAGCCAACACACACCTCCCCTGGCACTACTGTTCAGTTACTGAAGAAAAGAGGATGTAGAAAGTGCTGCTAATAATGGGGTAGGCTTAGTTCTGATTTTCAGACTGGATATAGTTATGTTATGATTTATGTTCATTCTGGTTAGCTGTTACAGTGCCCCTGGGAACACGTCATTGCCATAATTGCAGTGTTGCGTGGATATGCCCAAGCTAAGCTTAAACTGGGCAATTAGGGTCTCGGTGGCTGTGAATGCTCCCTGGCTGCAGCCCTTCCCTGCCAAGTTGTGTAAATGCATGGGAGGTTAATCACTGCCGAGCTCTGCGCTGCAGAAAATGGAGCTCGCTGACATACAGCGTACCCCTGAGTATTTATATGAGGCTGTAGCCAGAGCTGGGACATGTGCATTAACAGAAACTCGGAGGCATTTACTTTAGCAGCCTGGGTGGGACCTGATACCAAGCAGGCCATTTTCAGCAGACTGGCTGTCCCTATAGAGTAACTGCCTGGTGTGAGATGATGGAGCTGGGGTGGGAGGCAGCCCAGAGCCCTTGTCTTGAAAAAGCTCACCTCAGTTCTGTCTCTGCTTTTCCCTCCCAACTTTCACCTATTGTTTAATTAGATTAAAAAAAAAACCTGTCAGGTTTGAACAGGGCCAGCTCTGATCTCAGCTGGGGCCCTAGGCAGTACCAGGGCACAAAGAATAGCTGCTGCACTTTAAATTTGAATAATAAATGAATGAATGTTTTTACAGTGGCTGGGAGCAGGCCAAGGGAGCTGTCTCTCACAGGAGCGTGCGCTCATGCTCCGTGGTCTGGGAGAGAAGGGCCAAGCAGCAGATGAGGACCCCTCCAGCCCTTCTGTGAGGTTCGTGGGCAGAGCAGAGGGAGCACTGCTGCAAGGGACAGCTGGTGAGCACACGGCTTCAGGAAATGGTGGTGTTTGCACGTTTCCATGCTCTGAGGCTGACCCTGGTATGTTGCTACAGTGAGGGCTCCCCTTCATCTCCTTCATGTTCCTCTCAGCTGACATAGTCCTGTAGTTGTGTTATGCTGGCTACCAAAACTGGAAGGCCTTGGCTGACTTTTATCGTCTTGCCTTGTTTCAAAACATGATGCTAAAGAAGTCCACATAAGCAATGTTCCTGGGGAGGGTGTGCATCTTCTGGGAGGTGCCACCACAGTTTGGGTGTATTCCTTGAGCTGGCGCCAATGCCCTGCAACCATTTGGAGGGCTGGATTCGGCTGTCCCAAACATGTTGTGCTGACCAGAGACAGGACTGCATGAAGCTGTTGTCCTCAGGTTCCCTTCAGCTCAAGGAAGCACAGGGTGTTCCATCACCTCCTCTACGCTGGACTGTTATCTCACTCAGCACAGCAGGCAGCAAGGGCTATATTAGGGCTTCTAATTGCCTCATTGACCAGGATCTTCTCATAAAGTCCATGCAGTCATTTCTCTATTGGTTGTTTCATGCTGTTTGCATCAAGGAGCTCTTTGTGCTTTTTCTGTTCTGCACCTGTACAGCACCTTGCACAATGGTGTCTGGTCCGTGTGGGAGGCCCTTTGGTGCTGCCAGGCTGTAAATAATGCTAATTATTGTTATTATTCCCAGTAATTCCACATGGAGGCTGCTGTGTAAGTGACAGTGTGCATGTGTGAACAGAACACCTAACTGCATGTTTCATTTCAGCAAATGAACCCCTTAATTTTCATCTAAACAGGTCTTCAAGGGGCACATGTATTATCAACGCCTTTGCACACTTGTTTGACTGGATTTTTCTAAAAACAATTTTACCATTTCAAATGTATGCTTAATATACTGTTTTTTATCGATATGTTCACCTTCATTAAAATGGCTACAGAGGTCTGCCTGCATGCAAAACTCTTTTTAGTTGACCATAAAAGTTTAATTAAAACCACTCTGAGAAAATTGGGACTGTGTTTGGGACTGACTCAGACAGAGGCCTTTGAGGTTTGATTGCAGAACCTGTCCAACTGGTGTCAGCAGCAGTTCACCTGATATCCTTCGGTGTGCTACCTGCTTATCTTAGCCTTTGAAACACTACGTAAAGGACAACGTATTTCCAGGTTGTCATTTTAACACTAGCCCATCTTGACTGATCAACAGGTAGGAGTTAGATTATCTACAAGAGCTAAACTTGAACAATTTAGAAGTATGCTGAACTGCGAGCAAGGGCTTTGAAAGTACTTGCTGATGGGTGAGGAGCTGAGTGGCTGCAGGACTGACTGCCCCAAAACTCTGCTGGGAGGGACCATCTTCACAGATATGTAGATGAAGATAAGAATCCATGACAGTTTCTGTAAGTGCAAGAAAATCTACTGGTGCTGTCTTGGTTTGTTGTGAAAGTCTGTCATATCACCTAGCTTTCTCACTTGTATTCAAGGTTGAATTACTGCATTGCTTTCAAAGTGTAGGGGGAAACTTTTTTTCTACCTATTGCCTGTCTTTTGCTCCAGCCTGACTTTTAATATAATTTGGGGAAGTCACACTATTTTATTTAATGTTTCAGAATCTAAGTACTGAAAGCCTAGAGGCTCCTTTGTATAAACCCTCTGTACGCAAAGTTCAAGCTAAAGTTAATGAAAACTCTGCTGTCACACCCCCGTCCAGAAAAGCGCATAGCACATCAGCTCGTTTGGTAGATATGTTCCATTATATGCTCGTACCTCAGTGCTTTGCTGGTTAGAAGCATGCCTGAAGGATAGTTCTGGTAAATAATCAAGCCAAGGCACCCACATTGTTGTGTGGTTTAGCACTGTAAACACTCATAAGTACCACAACATGATCTGCAGCATGGGACATTGCCTTAGAGTCAGCTTGAAAATAACCTGTTGCCTTCACCGTAGCCTGTGTGATGTCAAATGAGACTAGAAGGAATACACAGAAAACAGTTTGTATACTTTACCTGAAATGTGTCTCATGGGCTAAAAGTGGGCAAACAAAGGCACACCATGCAATCACCTCTCCTACGTCACCTGTGCCTGCAGGACAGTCTCTTGTTCCTTTAACATTTTGGCCTGGAGCTTCCATTCTGCAGCTTGGTTCAGGAGCTGTGTTTTGGGCAACAGAGAGAAAATTGTTAGATCCCTGTTTTTTTCAGCTGAAAATCCTCAGCCTCCAGCTACATATGCTTCTGTTGCTGCTACCTTGGTAAGGAATAATTTAACTCAGATGAATGTAGGAAGAGGCGACAGGCAAGATCGAATATTTATTGCTATCCTCAGGAGAGGAACGGGGCATTTTGTTAGAAAAGACATGTCTGAATATTAGTTTAAAAACTGCTTGGAATGAAGTGTGTAGTACAGTATGCTCTAAGAAGTATGGTATTTAAGCATATCTTCATGTGACCTGTAGAGTGTGGTTATGACACCTTCTGGCATTGTCATTTCAGCATGGCTCAGGCTAAATTTCAGCTCTCCTGTGAATGGCAGACTCCTTTTTGCAATAATGATCCAGACTTAGCATACAGATGTGGTCAAAGTCAGGCATGTCTCAAAAAATCTGCTAGCTTCCAGAAAGGGAATGCACAGTAAATGTCATGCAAAATCAAGCTCTGGTGTCTGTTATCTTACGGCTCCATTTGCATTGACATGCCATCAGCAGAAACTCCCAGCTCAGGGTGATAAATGCCTCACTTAGATCAAGGAGGCAGCCCAAGAAGAGTTTGATTGCAGTTTCATCCCTGGCTGCTCCTGGGAAGATGTTATCCCTACTTCAAGGCATTAGCAAAATGACCTTGGGACGTGTAGACTGCACGTTGGAGGTTCAGCTGAGGGTGAATGAATTGTAGGAAAAGGTGTATAGACACTTCTACAGGTTGCAGTTTGGAATCAGCACTTACAAACTATTCTAACAATTGGTTTATTTGAACCCAGGGAACATTTATTGAAGTGTTAAAGAAACTTCTAGTGCCTAACAATCATGTATACAGTGTTACTTTTACTGGTTAGGCTAAATGTATTTCAGGAAAAAAAATGCTAATGATAGCTTGAGAAATGAAATATAAACAATTTCATTTGCCACAGGATTTTCTTCTGTGGGACTAAATTGTACCATTTAAAATGGCACAGTTGGGCTTTGAAAATATATTGAAAATTACTTTATAAGTCAACAGAACCCACTCATACTGGAAGGGAAAGGTGAGTAGAACCACGTGCAGAAAATGTGTTTGAGCCTAGTAAAAACCTTGATCCTAAATATTTAGTTAGAAATAACACATGCAAACTACTTGAATGTCACCTGGCAAAAGGGCTGAAGATGTATGCTATAAATGCTGATTAAACAATATAATGACTTCTCTCCTTCTCCAGCTATTTGTGGCACAGAAACTGAATTACACTTGTTGCATATATATACATATAAATACGTAAGCTCTAAAAGATACATTTTCTCCATCCATTTGGCCTTTTGATTCAGAACCACTGAATTATTAGCATCTACAATTTTGAGAATAAGAATGATTTGCAGCTTACCCATGCATTGTATGAAGAAATACCATGTGCTGTTAGTTTTATATTTGCCTCTTAATTATTATTTTAAGAATTTAATTTAATGCTTGTTTCAATTGAGGTAAGTCAAATTCTGAGTTTAGATCTTGTGGGCTAAAATTTCAAGATTTCAAATAGGTCATGTCAGCATGTCCTAGCTATCAAAATGATGTGATAGGAAGAGGCCTAGGTTAAATGGGTCTCAGCATTTGTTTTCCTGGGAGGATGTTCCTTGCACATAAAAAATATTTTTTAAAGTTTGAATGAAATCTGTATTTTTAAGTTTCAGGTTTCTGTGATATCTACTTGGTGATTTTTTTTTTTTTAAATTTATTTTCATTTGAGGATTTATAGGGTGTTTGGATCGAATGTTTATTGGAAAGTTCTTTGAAGCTCTTCAGAGCTACCCAGTCTCCAGGACAGTCATTGCTTCCAAGAACTGGGCTTTTATTTGTATTCCTTAAATCTTGTCTAGGGTTACCTTCTTATCTTGTGTGCCTGGGATAATGAAAAGGTCTTGTCTCCCCTGCCATGTCTTCTGCCACAGTATGATAGATGTGAGATGGGCAGAGAAAGCAAAGTTGCTTCTTTTGCCTACTAATGAAATATTTCTTCTCCACTATTGACCCACATAGCTTCTGTAGCTAGTTAAAATCCAAGAGTTAATAAACTCTTCTGTAAGGGAAGCAAGCCACAGAGAGGTTTGCTCAAATTAATGTGCACTCTTATGCAGCTTGGGGTCATCTACAAACACCAAGCTGAGAGAAACTGCACCAGGAGAACTGACACATTTATTAATTGGCTATGAAGTGGTAACAAGGAGGCTGAAGTATAAAGAAATGATTAAATACTGCATGTGGTGTTTACAAAACAGAACTTCTACGAAGCCTGGTGTTGTTAGACTATATCATTAGAGCTACGATAGCTGCTGGAGACTCAGGCAGTCACATCATGCTCTGGTCTGAAAGAGCCAGTCCCCAAGAACACACATTCTAATTTAATGACATGGACCTAGGGGCTGGTCTAGTGAAAATTAGGTTTCCCTTTTTTTTGGTGCCAGATTTTGCACAATTCCGATTATGTAGAAATCTGATCATTGTCTTCCAGTCACACACTTGAAGGCCACAGATGCTTTAAACTGCAGTTAGCTACAAAACAAAGTTTGCTTTACAAGTGCTAAAAATGTCTTGTATGTCAAGGAAGTCCCAGGTAGTGCTGACCAGTAATGGGATGATACTAAAACTGCATCTTTAGGTCAGGCTGACCATTTGGGAAAGCCACACAGCAAAACAAATGATTGCTGCTTACTCAGGGAATCACATTCTTGTTGCATGTGAAGAATGAATTGTGTGAGAATGAGTCAATCTGCCTGTTGAGCTGTGATGTGCAGAGGCTGCAGGAGAGGACATCTCTCCCTGAATGAGGTAAAGGAATTTTTTATAAGAGCAAAGATTCCTACATGGAAGAACTGCACAGAAAAACATCAAAGTGAGCCTCCAAGGATCAATCAAATTGATAAAACAGTATAAAAATTCTCATTTAAAGATATTTGCAAAGTCCTGCAGCAAACTGATGCAGAAGGATGTCAAAAAAAAAGGTATGTAGAGAACTGCTGTGTACAGGGTGCTGGAGTGCAGCAAGGCTCTGACTGCACATTTGAGCTGGAGAGAGAGCAAGCTAATGAAAGGACTCAGTCAAAAACACCTTAATTTCATATATATATATGTGTGTGTGTGTGTGTGTATATATATATTCATACCCCCACATGATAGCTGGGTGGGTGGGAGTAAGAGCTCAGCAGTATGACTGAGGGGGTGAATGTGTAGGCTAGCTCTCAGTGCTGGGCTACCTGTGATGAATTTTGACATACTGGTCACGCCTTGTCTCATGGCATGGCTTTTGGCCAGTCACTTAAGTTTTCCAGCTAAAGCTACCTTGCTCTGAGGTGATGTTACTAATATATCACCAAGCTACCTCAAAGGCAGAGTTTTGAGCATTAGCTTGGAAAGTATGAAAAAAAATCTTTGAACACAGTGCGTATAATTATACACCCACTACTTAAAGTCTTTGTATCTTGTTTTCGAACCTGTTATTTCATAGGTGCTAGTCATACATTCAGCAAAGCCACAAAGGAAATCTCCCACTCCCAAATGTAGATGAATAAAATGCAGAGGGAAGATTTGGCTACAATCAGGGCCAGGCACTGTAGCAGACAGCAGCAAAGCTCATATTATCTGAGGCACTGCAAGAATGGTCATTGGTACAAGGCTGTGTTTGTGAACTTTCCACAAGGTCACGCTGTCTTTTGGATTTTATTTTATTTTTTCAATATTTGAAAATATAGCAAAACTCATAGTGACAGTAGTAAAGTAAGCCCAACTTTGCCTTGTCATTTTGAAGGATTTCTTAGAAATGTTCCCTGGGGTTTGAACCTGCTTAGGATGAACTGTCATGGATTAAATTTTGGACTTTGGCTTTAAATAGACCCCACAGTGAAAGGGCACTCAGCTGGACCATACATTGTCATGCAGAGACGTGTATGTGCACCTGGAGAAGTCCCAGCTCCTCTTCCCCCTCAGTTTGTTAGCTGGCAGTAGAGTTTGAGCAGGAGTGGGTGTCCCAGCCACAAGATCAGTGCAGAGAAAGAGGATAAAATCTCTTATGAACAACTTCTGGTGAGAGGTGTTTGCTATGTTTCCCTTGTGTGCTGTCCACAGGGCTTAGAGCCCCACAGTTTCATCCACATTTTACGGCATTTTGGCTATGCTTCTACTAATGTATCTCTTTTCTGACAAAAAAGAAATACATATTCCTTCAGAGCTCTCTAATGCAGCTCCTGAGCTAGCTACAGGACTGGAAAGGACTAAAGGTTTCCTCAAGCTGCTGAGAGCCTGATGCTCCCCTGTACTTAGCCTCAGCTGCTGCCACCACAGAGAAAATGATCTGGGTGCCAGTGATGAACGCTGGTAGATGTTAGAATTACTGTGAAAATACCAGGCAGCCTGAGGAAGTGAGTTTTGGTCTGCCTCAGGCACAAGACATGTGAGGCCAGGGAGGGGTGTCCTCCCCCTGTTCCAGCTGTGCCTGTGGGGACATCCTGCCTAGAGCTGCTCTTTGCTGTTCCCCTACCAGAGGTGTCCCTCCACCAGGCAGGGAGGAGCAGCAAATGAGTCTGTGAAATGAACCTGGGCTCTACTGGACAGACCAATGTGGGGAGGGAGCCTCTGCAGGAGAGAAGGGGGCCCTGATGCTCCCGTGGTCTCTTCCATTGGCAAAACCAGACCCACAGGAGGGCGTCTGGGGAGGCTGAGTCTGGGGTGGGTACCAGCCTTCTGCTGATTTAATCACATGTCCTTGTTCTTCTTGTTCTTGTTTAAATGTGCTCATTTGCCATGTGAGGAGCTGGAGCATCCAATATCAGAGCCGTTTGGAAACTAATGGCATCATCTGACACAACATCATGATGAATCAACTGTGCAGTAGCGGTGAGTTAGCTGGAGCAGACTGTGCTCTAACCTGCTGCTCACAGTTTGTTTCAAAGGCTGTAAACACTGCTGAAAGCAGTCTTTCAGAGGCTGTTCTTTTACATCAAGCACTAACAATAGCATTAAAAACTTCTCTTGTGTTTCTCTACTACTGTGTCACAGCTTTGACCTGAAGAACCGACACATTAGTGGAATATCATGCAGGGCTCTTTTTGGCCTGAAGCTAGATAAAAGACAAGTTAGCGAGATAGTTACATATTCCTTTTCTTTCTGGTGTCGCTCCTCTGCTTCCTTCATCATTTCCTGAGACTGTTCCAACTTGGCATCCACCAATTTCTGTTGAAGTTCCCTGTGCTTGAATATTTTATCAAGGTGCTGTAAGAAAATAAATTCTGCTGAATGTGCGGGCTTAGTTATGTACACAGACCTTCGTGCTCACGCATGTACAGATATCTACCGGAACAAGACAAGACAAAAATATTGCAAAACAGGAAGACTCCCAACCCACTGCAGTTACAAAAAAGCTGTGGTGCTGATAAGAAAAAACTGTGCCAGAATTTGCATAGGAAGGGAAATGTGTTTACATGATCTATTTTGATTTGTAACCAAAAAAAAAAGGAGGGGGGGGGGGAAGAGAGAGAGAGAAAGAAAAGCCTCAGCATCTTTGCCAGTTTTATGATCTAAATATAAAGTAAATATAAAGTCATCAATATATTTCAATATGATTAAAGATAAAATAATTGGCCATCAATAATAAACATGCAAGGAATGGACTTTTTTGGAGCTGCTAAGGGGCCAGTCGATCTAAGTCACCGTGCAGATAAATGTGTAGACACATTGCACCTGCAGTACTTGGGAGTGTATGCACATCTCCTACTGCCCTCTCTGTAAACACATGCCCTGTACATCCCATTTGCTCTGTCCTCACATGCATAATGGGGGTTCGGAGGGCTTGGATAAAGTGGGTGAGTGGGGATGTGGAAGAGATCAGACCTGATGAACCATAGGTCTCCTGTGGCCTGTAAAACTTCTGGCTCCATGGTGACCTTCAGGAGGTAAGTGTTGCTGATAGCCCTCCTAACTTGTGCTGCATTTAAATAAGACTAAATATTCTGAGCACGTCCCTCTGCTTTACATTTTCCTTTTATAGAAACCACAAGACAGGAATGTACATTCCCTTCGTTCAACATAAGGCTTCATACAAGATGCAACAGATTTAGAAATGAGTGTATTGTATCGGGCATTCCAGACTGTAAAGACAGGTTACTTATGTTTTATTCAGCATGATAATGTTGTCTGGTTGCACTGAGACTCACAATCAACACATTTAGAAACAATAAAAAGACCCACTGTGATATGTGTTAGCATTTTCATAAAATCAAAACAAAAATAGTAGCTTGGGACTTTTCCAGAGGATTTTTTGTTTTGTTTTGTTTTGTTTTGTTTTTTGGTGTCAAAATTATCTGACCTACTCTAATATTTACATTTAATGCAATTTTTCATCCGTGTGTTATCTGCTAGTTTTTATGGTAAATGTTGTTCCTGCAAAGAAGAATATATTCCAAAGCAAAGGGCCCCTCACTCTCTTTCGTTATTAGTTTTCTGCTTCTAGGAAGAGTGGAAGCATTCAAACCAGGACTCTTCTCATCAACCTGTGTCTTGGGGGATCAGAAGTGCATCTGGCATACCAGTGGACCAGACTGCAAGAAGATGGTGCTCAGTGGGGACTTGGGGTCTTGGGGAAGCTGTGAGTGGGCTGGGGTGCAGCTTAGCAGGTACCCTGCTGCTTGGGCACATTCATCCCTCTTCCCACCCATCATAGGCAAAGATGCTGTGGGTGCTGCAGGCAGGATGCCGGTCTGGACAACTCTTCACCCACGTTCGCCATATGGGATCCCACTGGCTTGTTGCATGCATAGTCCCAATCAGACTGCAAAGCACAGTGGAAGTCGCCCATGAGATACCCAAGCGATATCATGCAGGGGGACAGGTTGGCAAAGCGTTCTGCTTTCCCCTGGGAAGCTGGGTTTGCTGCCTGTCTCCGTGGGTGTTGCGCTCACCTCTTCCCGCAGCTCATACTGGTCAATGATGCTTTTCAGCTTCTCTGCCAGCTCTGTGTTCTCCTGGCAGAGCTTCATGTTCCTCTCGCTTTGCTGCTCGATCTGAGCCTGGATTTCACTCAGCGTGCCCTGGAAATGATTAGTAATTTCTTTCCTCTTCTCATCTTCCTCCCGTGCCCTCTGAATCGTTTCCTCCTGTTAAATGGGAGAGAAGGCAGTAGTGTAAGATGCATAACAAGCAGTTCCAAAAAGATACTGTTTCAGAGTAGCATAACGCTATTCTTTGAAGGGTTTATACATCTTTGCATTCCTCTTTGGAGATTTTCTTGCTTTCATGTGCTCCAGCATTAGGCATGATTCTAAATTTACAGAGCAAATTATACAGCAGTCTTGAAAAAATTACAGAACTAAGAATTTGCATTTATAAAGATGGATGTAGAACAGAGTTTCAGATCAAAGTGATCCTGGAAAAGGGGACGTTCATGCATGTCTTAATTCATGATACTGTAGCACAGCTTTTGCTTTGGAAGATATTTTGTGGAAGTAGTCAAAAGCTCTTTTATCAAAATGCTTTTTGATTGAATTATGAATTCACCCTTTAAAATGCCTCCATTTAACTAGAAACCCTCATATCAAATTTAAGGAATTTGGTATTTCCATTTATTAAGAGGAATTCCTCATTTTCTGTAGAATCCCTCCCCATTCCTCACATTTCCCACCCTTGCTTTCTAAGTGTCACTAATATTGGGATGAACTTACTAGGTGGTGGAATCAAGGAAAGCTTGTGGGCTAGTTCTTAGAGAGTCAAAGTAGAGAATCAGAATTTGTCTTGGAGAAAGATTGATGGATTATGTTTTAACCAACGGTTGAAATTCTGTTTTGAATTTCTTTTTATATATAAAAGAGAATGTGGAAAGAATCTAGATTCTTTGCTTTCAATGAAGAACTGTGCACAAGTTTTATTTCCTTTTACCCGTTTGCTTCCAGGGCAGTGTGCCCTTCTGAGGAATGTAATCCTCATATGCAGTGGCAAGTACAATATCTACTGTCATTACAAATCATGCCAGAACCATTTTAAGAAATCTCTCCACAGCATGCAAATGGTATACTCTAATAAGGTTTCAATTGGTGTAATCATTTACATAAAAATCTCTGATAACGCTACATATGAATATTTTCTGTAAATAGATCTGAAGAAGGCTTTCACTGACTCTAATGAAGTATAATTTATATCACAAATGTGACATAAAAGGTGTTGGTTCAGGTCCTGCTCTTAAAGTAAGTTGAATACCAAGTGACCCAATTTCTGCTTAACATGCAAATCACAAGACTGATCTTGAAAAACTCCCTACTCAAGGTAGAGGACGTTTGTCCTTTTGCTGCCAGGAAGCAATAAAGATGACAGTGCTTTGGATGACAGGAGGAAACTGTTGGAGCTATGTGTGATAATAGTATGGTAGTGGACAGAAATCACTATAAAACCCAGTTGTACTCTGAATTTTACAAAAGAACATGCATGTGTGTTCACTAACAGTGTAAAACAAAGTGTGAGCACAAAACTCTTAAGGGGAGGAAAGAACGACAGAGGGGGCTGGGAAAATGGCTGAGGGGTGTCCTGGTTTAATACCTGGGGTGGAAATTGGACACACAAAAAATACGGAGCAAGATGAAAGAGAAATTCTCTAATTTTTATTTTTAGAAATTGGTGAGAATGATTTTGAGTTATCCTGAAATATTTTACTTGACGAGAATTTGAGCTCTGTTCTGTTTGTAGTTTCTTTTTGTTTAACTCTTTCAAGGATGATTTTAGAACAGAAATGCTCTTCCAAAATAGAGAGTTTAAAATGCTACTTAGAAAGTGTTTTAAAACAACAGTTTTAGCATTCCCAGAAATATATTTGTATATATATCTATATGTCATCCTTTTTAATCTTGTTTGAAACTTTTATTCTTGTTTGAAACTGCCAAATTGAACTTGAATTCCTTGATGGGTTTAGTCAGAACTCCATTTTACCTTTAATACACTGTTAAAAAAACTGCTCATGGCTCTTTCTTCTCCATTGCATAGGTACAGCTCTGAGCAGGGAGAAGACTGACCAGGTGCCTCCACTTCAAGTAGTCAAATACAAGAGTGAAAAACTGAACATGTTTGGAGTCTTATTCCTATGGCTTCAAAACTCCCTTCCCCCAAGATACTTCATTGTTTCAATGGACCAAACAGTGTTATAACACAGTGTCACTGCTGTGATTTAAAGCTCACTGGAGTAATAAATCCATCTGAATATAAAATAAAAAAATGGTGTCTTGCACATAAGTCATACTGAACGGCTCTGTTACAAGGTGAAATGAGACATCCTGAGAGTAGCAATCATGCAAATATTTAGAAAAAGAAAAGTGCATGTGTTACGCAGAGGATCTTATTTTCTGCTCATCTTTTTTTTTTTTTTTTTTTTTTTTTTTTTTTTTCTGAGTAGAATAATTATACAGAGAACAGAGAGAATACAAATGTTCATGGTTATAAATGCTGAGAATGAAGCTGCATTTTGTTGCTGGGCAGCAAATTTCTCTTGACCTCGTCTCCTTTGCAGAACAAGCCTATGTGGGCTGGGGTGTGCCCTGGTGAGTTCCTCAGAGTCCCTGTACCAAGGGACCTGTACCCTGTACCTCTGTGCCTGATGCTGTGCCGTACCACGGAGCTGCCTGTGATGCTGCTGCTCCCATCTGATGCTAGGCTGTTGCCTGGGCCTGAAGTAATACAGGTTCAGCTTCAGGGGTTTGTCAGCAGTACTGAAAATACCATGGGAATAGTGATGAGTGGTGGAGGTGTCTACCACTGAGCCTTTACTAGCTGTGAAAGCTGAAGGCTGAGGTTGCACCGGAGCCAGGGAGGGGTCTGGATGCCCATGCAGCCCTGCTCTCCTGCCAGCTCCCCTTCACACACCTCACACTGACAGACCCCAAGTCATCAGCATCACACAGATTTTATTGTCACAAAGCCACATCTGTTTCTTTAGACCTGCCCCCCCCCCCGCCTTTTTTTTTTCTTTTTCCAGTAGGTTCCTTAGTCCTTCCCATTTCAAGACTCCATACATACTGCAAAGTAAAATCCTTGTAAAAGTAAGGTTGTCCCCTGATGGAAGATAGAAGACTGCCCTCCATCCAGTGTTATTTCTGCCACAGCTGCATTAGCTGCACACAGTCCGGAGCTCCTGCCCTGCTTGGTTGTAGGGAGCAGAGATGAGAGCATTTGGGGTGGTGACTTCTCAGCATCACCACAGTGAATTCATAATGTGTGAACCACACTCCTGAACTCTCTGTTTATTTCTTTTAACAGTTTTAAATTAAGCATTCAGTTTTAGTGTGTGTGTGTGTGGGGGGGGGGGGGGGGGGAGGGGGTAAAGGGGGAAAGCATTGTAAATTCTTTTTAGATTTCTGGTTGCAGAAGACTATTTCCAGCCACTAACTATTGTTTCTTTCCCTCTGCCCTTTCTTAATCTTTGTGCTCTGTATCCACCCTGCTCCTGCACTGCTATCACTCTCATGTGTTTTACTGCTAACAATGTAAAAATGCATTGAACAAAACCTTGTAAAATTAAGGCAAGGATATTTTTGCATTTTGGGATTTAACACTGGAATGTGAAATAATTTGCAAATAGAAGGGCAATGTTATCTCTGGTCCTCATCTCTCTCTAGGGCAAATCAAGACAACTGTTAGCCTGCTGAAGCTGTATCAGCAGAGATGATGTGAGTGCAGACTCCTCATTTTCAGTGAACTGCTCTCCCCACTCTCAGGCAGCATGGTCTGAGCCTTAGGTCTGCAGTTTGGAGCCGAGCCCATAATCAAAACTGTTGATTGTTGTGACATTTGTATGAAAGTCACTGCTTAATGCTGGTAGCAGGAAGGACAAGGGACCTGAGTTATGTGACTACAAGACACTAAGTAGCCACCAGACTGTCAGCTAATTGGCAGAACACTAACACAATGCAGAGAAATGAGATGCTATTGCTCTTAGCAGAGCTATTCTCCACTGCAGTGGGAATATGTTGTTACTTCACGAACATTTATTTTGCTTTTCTTGGAGGGAGAATTAAACATCTGTTTTCTGCTGTGAGCTGTAACTGCGAGGAAATAATCTGAATAGCTGGACTGTAAGTAAGTGAAATTTTGAGGCCAGTATCTAATACTAACCAGAAATTCTCTTCTCTGATCTGCACTGTGGATTTTCAGCACAGCTCCGCATTGCATATTCATCACCACTTGGCTGCACCAATCTCCAATTAATGGGAGTTCCACACACCAGATGAGTGAAGACGACATTTACATGACATGATGTGCATATAATGTACCACATGGCAAGTCAGAGGATATTCGTGATCTGGATAGGCCAGGCTTCTCCTTTGCTCTTAAAATGACACAATCTCCACCAATTTTTATTTTCTATTCCTTTGGAACATAATCAGAAAAGCTAATTCCAAATGTTAAAAAAAAAATATGAATCAGCTTCTCTGTCCTGATAAAGCCAAAATAAAAATTCCTTAAGCATGGGTTTTTAAAAATAACACACAATAGCCCTGTTTTGAGCCCACTCAATACAGTCATAAGCAAAAGAAAATTACACTCATTTAAATAAACAGATGAGATTCTGGATATTCACAGATCTCCAGAAGCTAAAGCTTAAAGACAGATATTCCAACAATTGTGGTAAAATTGTTAGAGAGACAAAACCAAATGAATGTCTTTGTTTATTAATTTATTCTTAATCCATTCTGCAAATATGTTTGTTATACTGTTTTTACTTTTTTTTTTTTCTTTTTTTTTTTTTTTAATGCTGAAGACACAAGAAACAGAGGAAAGCCAGTATTCAGTGTTTCTTAAAGGTTCTCCAGCTTCTTAGAAAGAAATGCCCAAAATTCAAGCACTTCTTCCTAAACTGAAATATCAGCTTAGGTACCTTTCCTGGCTCCCCTGGCTTAAGTACAAGGGAAAAAAATCAGAACTGAATGAAGAATTGATGATTTTATTTAAGGGACTTAGTTGCAAAGCTGCAGCCCAACAAGTGGGAAGATGTTGGAAAGAGACTTTCCTAAATGTAAAGATGAAATGCATGGCAAATTATTTGTATGCAAAGAGAAAGAAAAACTGTTATTCTCTACTAGTGGGATTAATAAGCATATGATAGCTGGGAGATCATTCAACAAAACCTGTTTCAGATATGTTTTCTGAATATAATTAGTTTTTCCCTATACCTTTTTCCACTGACGGGCATATGATTTGATTGCTTTAGAAAACTCAGTTAAGTCTATACAGAGAGCTGTAGTCTTAAATCACTCTAAAATTGGTTTGTATTTTTGCTGAGAGATTTTGCCAGAGATGGTCTGGTACATCAGTGTGGATCGATACTGAGACATAGCTTAATATACACCAGGTTTGCTACAAATGATAGGCAAGAATTTATTTGACACTGACAGTTTTGAGCTACTGTAACTGAGCACACGGAGATATGCTTCCTGTCTGTTAAACTACTTTACACCTACTCATGCATAGTTTGTGTTTAGACAAGGCTCTTTCCTCTAACAGATATATTCTAATCAACATATAGTAAAAGTTAAGGCTAGCCCTTGAACGCCCACTCCTGAGCTGGTGAAAGTGAATGAAAAACTATTACAGTTAATAGAGGTTATATCGGGTGAGGTTTTTGCTAAGAATTCATATGTTTTATTCTACTTGTAACTGTACCTCCATAAAGGATTTTGAATAGAGCAAGCAGAGAGAGGCTTTTTGTATAACACTACTTTCACTAACATATTTTCAAAAGTATAAAGAAAGATCACAACAGAAACATATATCTTGAACCTAGAACTTTTCAAGAACCATAACCAGATTATAAATTTCGTATTTAAATGGCATGGTGCACCAAGGCAGATGTGGTATATGGATCCCAGCCTCTTGACACTCTTGAGGATTTCCTTTCTGAACTGGTGTTTGTAATCCAGACAACTTCCACAGTGTCAGCATCCTTGGTGTTTCTAGGCTTGATGTCTTGAGGAAAATGTCCTGACTGACAGACAGATCACTTGAAAACGCCCAGGTACTCAAATAATATGAAAACAACTGCCGTCCTTCTGTGAGTCCTGTACAGCAAATCTGGTGTTCATATAATTCTGGCCACACACCTGTATTCACATTTGCAGTCTCAGGGATTTAAGAAGGTGCCTTCTGGAAGACCCAGCTGCTACAGCTTAAAAAACACCCTTCCCCAGCTACCTGCTCCACACTTGGCCCTTCCATTCCAGCAAGTTGAAGCTGAGCTGAGAGCTGGGGCAACATGGACACTTCCTGCAGCTAGGCCTGGTACTGGGTGACTGACCCTGTTGGGAGGGAGAGGGTGACCTGTCACAGCAAATTTGGCGTAACTGATCTGTTGGCACTACTTATTTTTCCTGCGCTGGACTACCTGGTAACACAAGAACAGCTTACAGCTAATGTAGGTGAACTCAGAATCACAAGATCAGACTGGTTGAGGTTGGAAGGGACCTCTGGTGGTTACCTGGTTACATCACCCTGGTAAAGAAGGACCACCTGGAGACAGCTGCCCAGGACCATGTCCTGGGCATCGTTCCTCTCTCTGCTGGGCATCTTGATAAGGCCAGCACTCACCTTGAGGTTTTTGTTGTGCCTCTGGAGCTCCCGGCACAGGCTCTCGAGTTTGCTGCGGGCAAGGATGGCTCGGCTGTGCTCACTCTGCAGCTGGTCCTTCTCCTTGGTGATCTGGGCCTGCCTCTTCTGCAGGTACTTGAGCTGCTTCTGCTCAGCGCGATGTTCTTCAAGCTGGGCAGGGGATGAGGGTTAAAACAGATGGAGAGGAAAGAAAAGAAAAATAATTTATTTGAAGGGCAGCTGTGAGATTTTATTTTTGTTTTAGTGTTAAGAACAAGAACAGTTGGTAGCTTGTAATGCAACGAGATTTCTCCAGATCATCAAGATAACTCAATAGTAGCTTGTCCTGTTTTGCAACTTCATGAAAAAGAAGTCCCCAGATTTCCTAGATAACCATAAAGCTGTTGAAAACAAAACAAAACAAAACAAAACAAAACAAAACAACAATGACAACAACAACAAAACAGCAGAAAAGGTGCTGGACACCAAGGATAGAGTCTGTGCGAGGGCTTTGCTGCTGTTGGAGGCAGAAGGCTTTTTGTGGTTTAACTCGTCAGGCAGCTAAACACAACACAGCTGTTCCCTCACATTCCCCACGGTGGGATAGGGGAGAAAATTGAAAAGTGCACAAACTTGTGGGTTGAGATAGGAACAGTTTCTTTTGAACCCCAGCCTCCTACCTGGCAGAACAGTATGAGAAGATGAAAAGTCCTTGACTTGTAAGTACTGCTCAGCAACAACTAAAAACATCGGTGTGTTATCAGCATTATTCTCATCCTAAATCCAAAACATGGCACCACACCAGCTACTAGGAAGACAATTAACTCTATCCCAGCTGAAATCAGGACAAGGCTCTTCAGGGAAGAGCTTTCCAGAACAAACTGCGGACACTTCCTCTTTGCCAGGCTTTTCTCACTTGCAGACGTGGGAGTATCTGCCATTTATCCCCTCATTGGGGTGGCTTGCAGTGAATCAAGCCTCTTTCCAGCTCTTTGGCTCCATGTAATTGCTGAGGAAGCTATGGACAGTCCATGCAGTTCACTTAGGAACTGTTTCTGTGGATGCATAGCTCCTGTGTTCCTGGAAGGGCTGGTGGGGAGAGTGACACTGAAGATGGGACAAGAGGGAGCAACGGCCTTGCTAATGGACTGGTTATTTCTTCTGATTCATGCCTATTACTGGAGAAATTTGCTGCACTACAAGTTAACCGTAACAGAAACATCAAAGAACTGTTTCAATTCTGAAGCTTCTAAAGATTTCTTCCATTCCAACTCACAGTAGCCCTCCTCTCTGTATTAAAGGCATGAATGCATTGAGACATTTCTAAAGTCCAGATGTTTTCCAGTTATTCACTAGCTGCAATATGCAAACTTTAATAATAATAGTTGTTATTAGGATATATTATGTAATAATATGGTATCACTGGTATTAATTATTAATCCCAATATGACTGGGAAAGTTTGTGAGTGCAGAGGAGCAATGTGCAGCTCAGACAAGGCAGACGACAGAAATAATATGTTGCACTTTCTCTGCCCAAGGATCTGTTTTCTGCAGATGTTCTGTAATTTATGCTTACAGTACAGAGCTCTGTGTATTATCAATCAAATCACAGCTAGTCATACCACAAACCAATGCAATCACCAGCTTGAAGTATATTTACAGTTTACGCTCAACTTTCAGCATGTGTTTTGTGTATTTTTACCCCAGAAGATTACAATAGGGGCCTCTACATCTAATCAAGCTGCACTAGCTGAAGTAATTTTTCTAGTATTGTACAGGAAAAAAACAACTCTGTAATGAAGGCTGAGATTTGTGTTTTTTTTATAAGCTTGATTTTGGCCCCTTCCCCTTTCCTTATAAAAACACACACAAAATGTTCTTTTTGCTTCACATTTTGCATGTGCCGTCTGTGCTTAGCAGTTAATGCTTTGTCCAAATTTTAGATGATTCACTCAAGCTGTGCTTGAGGTAGGGGGCTTAGAATGAAACTGATCTTAATCATGATAGGAAAAGCCTTCCTAGCATTTTTTGTCCTTTTTTTTTTTTTTTTTTTTTTCCCCCATAAAAATGACTTGCTGTAGAAAATTATGTTTGAAAGTTCTCAGAAATATCTAGGATATGACATTACTTTTGCACTGAAGAAGGATACTCACAAGTAAATAGGAATGACACAAGAGCACCAGAGTTTTTTTTTTGTTTGTTTTTGCTTTGTTTTTTTGGTGTTTTTTTTTTTTTTTTTTTTTTTTTTTTAATAATTGATGAAATATTAGCTAAAATTAACTTCAAATAGAAGGAATTCTGATTTTTGAAGGCTGACATGGTTAGATGAACTCTCAGTTTAGGGGGAAAAAAAGTTTTATCTTGATCCTGCTGCAGACTGACAATACTTATGTCTATGTATTAGTGTATAATTGCTGCATACAGAACTTGAGAGACACTCAGAGCTTCTGAAAATAGGAAAGAATGAGGATTCTGCTCCAGAGATGGTGCTGACTGAGCGCCTGCAGTGTGTGGGGCCAGTGCTTGAGAAGGGTGTGTGCTCCAGCAGTGGTGGAGATGACTTGGGCATTGGTTCTTCAACCCATGCAACACTGGCACAAGTTGCCCAGAGAAGCTGTGGATGCCCCATCCCTGGAGGTGTTCAGGCCAGGCTGGATGAGGCCTTGGGCAACCTGGTCTGGTGGGAGGTGTCCATGCCCATGGCAGGTGGGTGGGAATTGGGTAATCTTTAAGGTCCCTTCCAACCCAAGCCATTCAACGATTCTATGAATTCTATAACAACTGTTTGTAGGCAAAAGCTAAAATGAAGCGCAGTCTGCTCTACCAACACAAACCACTCTGACTACATCAGTATTGGTAGATAAAACCTTCTCTGGTAGTGAGTAGTGTGGTTCAGCTTGTGCCCGGGTGACTAAACTGCCTTTCCTCCCTGTCCCTGCAGGTATGGCTTTATTCACACCCGCACCCAAGCTATTCCCTGATGCTACCCATTTTCTCTTGTACTTATTGCTATACACCGTGCTAGGGCGTATCCTAACAGTTAAATAGCATATAGCTGGGTGGCTTTGGGGACATGCTGCTACTACATTGGGTCCCCATGTATGAGCAGCATCTTCAGCCATAGCCACCAGCAGCACCACCTAATGCAGCCGAAGCCATTGCCAGCACCCGGCTCAGCCTGGCATGGCACTGCACCATCTCCAGAGCTGTGCTGCAGCAAGTGCTTCTGACACCACATGGTTCATCGGACCTGGGAGCTGATCCATCTGGAAAAGAACTCAGCAAAAGCAAAAAGTGACCTTCAGTGAGTGATGGGATTGGGAAAGAGGACAGAGTGGCAGCTACTAGTGCTGACTGCTAACAACCTGTTAACCACACTAGTTCCGCACTGTTCCTTAGCTGTGCTGAATAAGCAGTGGAAGGTTTTGTTTGTTTGTTTGTTTGTTTTTCAACAAGTTTTTAATTATATAAATTAAACGATTCATTTTAGTGATATTGCACAGAATATCAAAACTGAATACACAGTATTTTTGTTTTAGCACTATCCTCCTGCATGGATTATTGGCAATATGGGTCATCTTTTATAAAGTATTCCATCAATGTTTGAATGCAGTGGAGAGTACATCACACAGAAAGTCCTATTTCAGTTAACCTGTTAGCATGAAGTCCCTTTAGGCAAGGGCTAAACTATGAACTTTCAGAGCCCATTTTATGAAGTCAGGGAATTTTAGATTAAAAAAGGAAAGCTGAACTTCATATTATGATAAGACTTGAACACATCCATGCATAAAACTGATTACAAAGTCAATGGCCTGTTTGGCACATTTTTCAGTGCTCAACAAAATGTAAAATGCTGCAGCCATTTCATTTGTAAGATTTCCATTGCTTATGATCATAGAGCCCTTTAACTACTGAGAAGAAAATCCTTCATCTGAAAATAACCCATCTCAAGCATGGAAAAAAACAGAGAAGGGGAGTTAAGTAGCTGGCATTATTACAGGGGTTCTATTATGGTGGCAGAGAATTTGACTGTTCATTTCACTGTTTTGGTTTCTCTGATGATTAGCTTCAGTTCCCTATTTTCTACTCTCTAACATTTTATACTAAGCCTCATGCTGCTTTTTTGTTGATCAAATCACTGATATGTAATGTAAAGCAACACCTGCATGCAGAGGTATGCAAGGCACCTTGCAGAAGGGGAAGGTGGGAGCGCCAGCCACTCTGAGCTGCTGTGGGCTGGCAAACCAGAGCCTGAAAGCAGGGCTTGTGCTCATCTGCAGCACGTGGGTTGGTTTGGTGCTGTGAAACAGCTTCACATCTCTATTTTTCTTAACCTTGCAAACGAATCTATCCTGTCTTTCTTAGCTATCTGGACATGTTAGCAGTGCTTGAGTGCCAGCTTGAAAGCTGTGCTATATGACTTGAGCCTATTGCATCCCTACTGCCTGCCAAAGAAAGGCAGTTTTGATGTGATGTATGATGTATGTACAAGGAAAAGGAGGACTGTATTCTTTTCAAAAGATGGTGATAGAGAAAAGGCTTTTTTTTTTTTTTTTTTTTTTTTTTTTTTTTTTCCCTATGTTGAAATATCTAGGGTTTCAAAATTCATTGGCCTATTCCAATACCTGTTACATAAAGATTTGGTATTATATGAATTCCAGTGAATACTCTAGGGATGCATAAAATGAATATTTAGTCTAAAATAATCATGGATAATCTCTTAATGAAAACAGTTTCTACAACAGAAGAATCATACAGGCCTTGAAGAAGGAAGAGATGTGTAGAGGATTAGAATAAAGTCATCTTCTCCTTGAAAAATTGAATTATACTTACAGTATTAAAATATATATATCAACTTATGAAAACTATATTAAGAATAATGGTGAATAAACAGATTTAACAAAGAGGTGTTTTTTGTTGTTGTTATGGCTATAATCTCTCATTTAAGCGATGAACCTATGCCTTCAGTTAAGCTTAATTCTACCAGAATTGTTTACACAATTTCTCTTTAAGTACGAATATTCTGCCTCATCAACTTTTTAGCCCCTTCCAAATTTAACCCAAAGTCCAGCTTGTTTTCCTTACTTTTTACTTTTTTTTTTTTCTCTTTTTTTTCCCTCCTTCTCACTCACAATTGGTTATTTAACATTACAACAATTATTTTTGGATAAAATTAACAGGAGAGATGCTACTACAACGTGAGGTTTGACCATGCTACATGGCATGTGTGTTTATACCTTCCTGTATAGACAGTTATGAGAGAACCAGTGCTGTACTAACCAGCTCAGCATACTTCTTAAACAACAGGTCCAGCTTCTCCTCTGGGGTACTCAGCTTGTTCAAGCTTTGCATCAGCAGGGTAGCTTCCTTCCCTTAAAAATAAAAAGAAAATATTTGATGGTAGATGTGGTTTGTACCTGATGTGCTGTCATGATTTATTTATTTTTTTACTTATTTATTAAATACATGATTCCGTAAAAACTCACAGTGTTTTGGAAGGAAAGGAACTGTTTTTGCTATGAATTTCTTGTTTGTTCCCCTGTACAAAAAAGTATGCTGGAATTTTCTTCCATTTCAGACCTCAGTAATGTGCTGTCTTTTAGCAAAATCATTGGCAAGTAAAATGACTTTTTCCTGTGTAATCTGTTTTTCATTTCATATCTTAGTAATGTGACTGGATCACACGTATGGTACACTTGACTCAAATAGGATGCACAGGGCCTGGCCCCAAAGAAGATCCGTTTGCAGGAACAAACAGATAAAAGCTGGTGTACTCCTGTGCTGCTCAACCCATCAAAGATACAAGGAAGATTAAGTTAGGTACAGAGACTATGGTGCACATGGACAAAAACAGATAGTGGTGGGTATTGCTAACCAGGTCTGGGCTGTATGAGTGTGGTGTAAATTAGTTCCTTCACTTGGTATAGAGAATATGGATACCAGAGACAATGTATTCACAGTCCAATAACTATATTGGCATACATAGTTAAATCACCATGTAGCCACTTGGGTATTGCTTCAGTGTTGATGCCATTGGTATTCATTTCAGCCCTGAGTGTGAGCTGGGGTTTGAACACCACTTGTTCTTAGAATACAAAATGTCCCTGGCATCCCTTGGAGATGATGATGGCTGTGGTGCAAAGGGTTTGGCTGAGCTTTTCCAAATGCCTCTTTCCTGAAAGGCTGTAAGGACAAATCACTTTCCGTCTTAGGCTGGATCTGTTCTACTTCAAGTCTGGTGCAGTCCAGAGGTACTGCCTGTGGAGAAAACCCACCATTTCAGGCTAAGTTCTCTCTACAGTTCTGGTATAACTAAATGTAAGCTAAAAACAATCCTGGATTGAAAACTGTTGCAAGTGGAGCTGGAGAACTGTGCTTTGATAGTGTTTCCACTCATCTTGGAGAGGTACCACTAACTGCACCAAAGCCAAGGTCATAGAAACAGGAACTTTATTTCTTCTGGATATTCAAGGAACTTGAAAAAAAAAAAGAAAAAAAAGAAAAAAAAAACCTGTCCCCGTGTCCTGCGTTTAGTCCTTTTTCTGTAAGCACCTCTTGCAGTGAATTTTCAGTAGGATTAGTCTACTATTGGGTTTGAGTTTTCAAGCATAAGAGAAGTATGAAGATCGGCAGAAATTAAGTGTAGGAAGGTAAATAAATTACACATTTGCCAGATTGGGATGTAGCTACATTGCTCTCTAGTGGCTGTCCAGCAGAAAGGACAGATTTTACAAACGCTTATTGAGACTTCTTTCTAGCTCAGCTAAGAGGATCCTGCAGTGGCCAAGGGGCTCAATGACTGTGAGAAGCACAATGGCAGTGAGAAGACTGATGGAAGAAAAATAACCTGAGTGTGAAAGTGAATTTGTTCTGCAGATTCCCTCTTGACCACTCCATGTAGTAGCACTATTGGCAGTTATGAGCAGAGAGAAGTCATATCTGAGGAAGCAGGGGAAGAAATAAATGCACAAGGGCATAAACAAGAGATCAGATTTCTCTTTCTTCAAGAAGCAGTTTTCTGCAGCGTGTCATCCGACTCACAGTTTTGGCTACTAGTTTGGGTGGCCCAGGAGTCATGTGATAAGATCCTAAGCTTTCCTCTTTGTAGGATTAATGTCATACAGCCTACTGCATTTTTTATTTTTATTTTTTTTGGGGGGAGGGGGTAATTATCAACTAGAAAAGAAGTTATAAAAATTACTGTCATTTTCAGTAGTAGCCAGAAGTCACTATCAGCCACAGTAGAGGCTTAACTGGGGAAAGAACAAGGACTAGGGTGGTTTTGCTTCTGTTTGCAGAAGGGCTATGTAAGTATATATGCACTTGCCTAGACCTTTCAGGATTTTCTTCTCCAGTTTTTGCTCCTTGCTAGTACTGGGCTCCTTTGCTCTAGAAGCATCTCCAGGAGCTGGCTTTTCTTTCTCACTTTCCTCATTTGCATCCTCATACTCGGCATCCTCCAGGCTGCCTGATTCTCCCTTCTCAGGCTTGTCAGTTCCTGTTGCAGTGCTTTCCTTCTCCATCAGACTTGCTGCAGATCCATAGGTATTAATGATGTCCTCCAGCTGCCGGCTCAACTCCTCTGAGATATCACACACGGCCACCTCAGGACAGGTGTTTGGCTGGTCCATGGGAGCCTGGGGCTGCAAGCTGGGGACAGGTTTCTCCTTGCTTTGCCCCTGGACATCTAGTCTGGGTGAAGTGGGAGCTTGTGGCTGCTGCTTGGTGGACTGGTCATTCTCCATGCTTGGTGCAATACCTGATAAAAAGCAAACACAGAGTTAATTGAAAAACAGAGGAATTAGTCTTCTTGCTGATTACAAAGCTCAGCCAGGATGTGAGTGATTTGGTGTGGAATCTGGGAAGGCAGATCATCCTCTGGCTCTGGCTTGATGAATACAGCACATTGAAACGAACCACCAAGGTGATTTACCTACAGGGACAAAAGCAAATTTTACACCTGCCAAGAAGAGAAGCCTGCCCAAAGCTAATACTGAAAAATCAAAACCTCTTGTTTTTGTTGCCAGTGATAAAGCACAAAATGGCACCAGAGCCATTCATACTACTTCCCTCCCTGAACATACTGTTTGCCACTTCCTTGTTTTTCTAGATTCTTATTTATTTATTTTTTTTTTATACCTGCTAGGCTGCCTACCCACATGGGCCGCTTCACATCATATTTGCATCAGTTTCATTTCCTGTTTCTTACCCATCAGCACATCTTAAGTCAATAATCAGGAAAAAAGGAAGAGTTTAAATGAAACTAAAGAACTGAAAATTGTGCTGTACTCTTCGAGGGCCCAGCATGGTGCTTGATCTATGAGTAGCCTGGTCTGGCACTGCCAAAGTACCAGCAATGAACAGTTCATAATAAGATAAACAACTATAAACCACCTTTCTCTTGTACTTGTGGTGTGCTGCTGACAGCTTGTCTGATAAGGTACAAAATACGAACTAAATAACAGGATTGTAAAAACAACCAGGTGTAACCTGGATTGATAATCTATGGTGGATTCTGGTGTGAATTTCACATAGTTAGCTCTGAATTTACAACTGGAACTTTACATTTTCCTATCCCTTTGAGCACTGCAACTAGTCCTTACTTCTGCTCAAATAAAGACTGTGCTAATTACTGCCATGAATCCTTTCTCTCTCTTTTACAGTCTGATTTTGTTCCTCCTTGTAATGGTATGATACATGATAGTGTCAGTCAGGTGGGTAGTAGAAGTCAGGTAGTGTCAGTCCCTGGTAGGGACTAAGGAGAGGAAGATTGCTTTGTTTGTTCTGTTCCACTGTCTACTGGTACTTTCTTGTTTTTGAAAAGACGAGTTGTTTAGAAAACATGGAACTGACAGAGAAGCATTTTGTTCCCTCTACAGTTGTCTGTAATGTATATTTTCTATGGTGTCTGAATTTCTGCAGCTTTCAGAATGATAAACAGATTCGGCCAAAGGCAAAATAAGATGATAAGAGAGTTGTAATTTATTGTAATATATGACATGGTGTTTGTTATTAAACTCTCCCCAGTCAAAGAGATGCTTGGTATTGCAGTGATGACCATTACTAAGGCAATATTTTTCAAGATTCAGTTGGTGAGCTATTTAATCAGGATAATGGATATGATATCCAAATATTATGTTTTGTCATCTCTAAAGCAATTAATTGTGGGACTATATTTGAAAGCTTTGATGTGTGTATATTTGAAGCTCTGTGTGGGGCTCTGGATGGGCCTGAAAGCCAGTATATAAGGAACCATGACCTGACACAGGTAAAACACACCAGCAGCAATGGCTTGGGAAGGCAGACTGGCCCCGATCTCGTGGATCCTGTCAGGCAGACTGCATCTGATACCTTCCTTCCTACTTTTGTCATGGTTGTTATACTACCACAAAGTGTTTGTAAAATCGTATCAGTCTGATTTGATATCCTGTTGACTTTAATTTACACTGAAAGATTAGACCCCACATGTGCAATTTAGGTAAGTAATTCCAGTTAGCAAGAATGTTAGACTAGAGTTTGTGATCTTATTTTAACTGGAGTTAATTGACTGTCAATTAATTCCAGTTCAGTAACATTATGGTAAATGCTAAGTTAGAATTTCCACAAAATATGTGTTTGTTTCTGACATGTTTACACTAATATTTACAATCTGTTCTCATTAATTTGAGTTAATTGGCAATCAAGCAGCTAGAAAAACTAGAATCATCAGCTCTTTCTTAGACAGAAAAAAAGTTTCATGAAGCACATTCCAATCTAAACTAAGTAGTTTTGTAACACGTTCATCATGGAAGGAGAACTGGACCACTAAATGCTTAATTTCCAAATATGAATTTCTCTTATTCCTATCTCCCTCTCTTTGTAAGAAGGCACAGGTTGATGTTCCTGTGATCAGGGCCCTGTGCATCCCTGAGGTCTTGTTGGTGAAGTGAAGGAGGTTGGCTTTGTCCCAGGTCAGCTCTTCTTCACTAGGAGATCTTGCAAAGAAAGCCAGAAGACAGGACCTGCCCCTGCTTTCCCTCAGGACCTGCTTTTCAGCTGTGGCCATACCACTGCCCTCTCCATCGCAGTTAGGTCCCAGTGACATCCATGCCCATTTTGAACCTCCATTGGCTCCAGCCCTGGCCTGGACCCAGCACCAGAGCTTCCCAGCTGGCCAATGGACATGCCTTGTCGCTGTGGATGTGTTGGTGGATTTGCAGGGTGTATCTGTCCCAGACCACCCCACAGACCCAATCCTGATGCTGACCTGCTGCCCCACATCCTGGCTCCTTGTGGGTGAAGTTCCAGCTCCCATCGACTATGTCATTGTGCTGGCTCCAAGCCCCTCCAAGTCCTAACTCATGAAGCAGTGTCGTCTGGCTTAAGTTTTCCTCCTAAGAGAACCACTAAGTCTGCCTACAAACACAGTAGGCTCTAAATCAACAACAGTGATCAAGTTATAAACGGTGTTTCTCAGTAATAAATGAAACGTGGGTGAGTTGAAGAGAAACTTGATGTTTAAAACCAAGGACACATGTTATTTAAAGGTTGGCCTCACAGGAAATCTTTCCTAATATAATCTATATCATTCCTGACTAGAAGGGGATTCATTATAATCAGTCTCTGAAGCCACGGCAATTTACAGTTGCTGAGGTTTAGGCCACCAGCTTGGAATGTTAAGCAGACAGAAACCACAGAAATATGACGAACCACAATGACGAACCTTTAACTCAAGGGTTCCCACCTGCTGGATCATACTGGGGATCATGTTTACACAGACAAGTAAATATTTTAATGTTTTTGTCCATGCTCCTTTTAGGCAGATCAGAGATCTAATAACTACTTTCAGCACAGAGACAATGTCTGTTAAGTCTTCTGCACCTTGTTTTGTGTAATGGCTTCCATAGTGTCAGAGTTTATATTTAGGAAGACAGGACAGCTTTCATCTGCTGAGAACAGCCTTTGGTGCGGGGAAATTTTACTGCATTTGGCCCCAGTCCTCCTCTTGCTCCAGCCAGCTTAACCTTGTTATACATCAGGAATCCTTTCTTATCAGGCCATTGAAAACTTATGGTGTCATTCTCAGTACAAGTGTTTACATTAAGTGCTGTCTCAGACACAGTAATGACTAAAAATTAGGTGACTGAGCCAGCAGAGAAATTCCTTGGCTCCTTGGCTTCAAACAGACTGATGGAAGGGAAACACAGCCTGATTTAAATGACCCTCCTCTTGACTTTTGTGACTCCTACTACCATCACTGTTGTCTCCACACACCTGAATTTCTGACTGGGCCTTAAGCTATTTTATGGTGAGGGGGAGGACTGACCAGTCATTTGATTGAGTCTGAGTGTTGGGTCTTGTTTACTCTTTTCCTCCTGTGTTCCCAAATCCTGAACTCATTCCATGACCCTGAGATCAGTATCTTTCTAAGCCCTAATTTTGATACAAGACACCTGTAGTTTCTACCTACAGGTACTCATTTTAATGGGAAAGTACAGTTAATACAACCATACAATATGTTTCCCCTACATCAACCTTGAAGTTTTTATCTTGAGATAACCATAATGAATTTCAAACCCAGATCCCAGGTGCGTGTTTCACCTTGATTCTTGGCCTAAATTTAAAACCCTAAGTCTGTCTCTGTCACTTGCAAAGTTAGAGAAAGCCAAGCTGGAGTCTCTGGGGGGGGGCAAATTGCAAGTCACTGCTGGGAGGAAATCTGGGCATTGCATTTAACTGCACCTCAGCCCTTGACTGCCCCGACCATGACAAAACTCAGGGCCTGGCTCCAGAGATGGTCCTCCTCTCCACCATTGGGAAGCACACTGAGAGCCAGTGCTGACCATGGCAGAGCCTCTTCTCCATTCCGCTCCTTCCTGCGTTAAATGTTTGGCATAACTCAGAACAAGAGTGGACCTCCTCAGAACACTGCCCCAGTCTTATGTAGGAGGTGACAGCTGCCAATCCCAGGCCGATGCCTTTCTGTAGGAGGACGCCTGGCCTGTACTGAGACTGGTGCCTGGCACAGCAGCAGTCAGCAGGTTGACCACAAAGACACACAAATGTGGTAAGCATACAGCATAGCCGGAAGCAACAGAAAAAAGTGCACATATTCAGTCTAGTGTCATGTTGAGTTTCTTTGCATCTGACCATATCCATTAGCATTTCACGTTTATGGCACAACCTGTGTTCACCATGCTTTCATATCAGCCTGTGCTTCGACATCAGTCTGTGCTTCCAAGGCAAAAGGAAGAGCCCACACATGACTTAGCAGAGACACAGTAGCCTTGCTGCTGCTGCTGATGGACAAACAACCCCTACTGCTGGACAGACAGCTCCCAGGCAGCACACCGCACCAGCCCGCCTTGCACTGCTGGGGTGGGTGCTGCCACCGTGATGGGAAGCACTGCCCCAGCACGAACAAAGCACAAAATATACATCCTGAGCTTGGGCTTGCATGCTGTTGCAAAGTTTTGTTTATCGCTTTTAAACAGAACGTTTCTCTTTCCTTCTCTTGGGAATTTTTTATCCTTCCCTTCTTGCAGCCTGAACTTCTAGAGGGTTTACTACATTGCCTATATTTAGCTCTTGCCTCCCCATGTATCCAGCAGAAAGACACATGGCACCTGCTCTGCAGCCAGAAGTTATTTTAAGCACTTCTAAAATGGGCAATGGTATTTAGCACTTTATGCTCAAAATTCACATACTCTCACACATAAATTCCCCCAAAACAAAGTGTTCCATATAATTACACTAGACAGCATATGCTGATAAAGCCTAAAGCTTTACCTCGGTATAACACCAGACTGAGCTACAGTAACACCTCAAAGCAGCAAGTATTAAACCCTGGAATGGCCTTCACTGCTGTAGCTCCAATTACCCTCCAGAAATATAGAAGTGCCTTGTTATAACCTAGACACTCTCATATATATTACTTCTGAAAGCTGTGACAAAATCAGCTTTATCAACTACATGCTACACTTGGATAGATTTCTAATTTATAATTTATGTACAATTTTCTAGTACAAAACCACACAAAACTTTGGCAGTGTGGTGGCACATTTTCTTACAGGCATGGAAAGAGACCAGATTCAGAGACTTTCTGATGCCACCTGCCTCACATTCATGTGGCATCCGAGTCTTGATCACTTAGTGTTGTATCAGACCAGCCCTTACTCTCACTCAAAAGCAAGCTCTACCAAAGTTGACTTACTTACTTTTTTTTCTTTCTTTCCTTTTTTTTTTTTTTTGATCACTCATTAGAGAAGCATTTCTTAACTTCAAATTCACATACATCCTCACGTACTCACCTATTTTCCTCACATGCCACAAAATGCCCAGGTTTTAACAACTATTACAAGAAAATGTGGGCTGACTGTCTCGAAGGGAAGTACTTAGATTAAAGTCCTTGTGTCATGCCATCAAGCAGTGACAACAAGGAAGCTGTTTGTCAGACTTACCAGAGCAAAGAGAAGAGCTGAATGGAGAAAAAAGTCAGGCAGAAAGCTCAGACAAGGGCACAACAGCCACAGGACACTGGTCCTATAATCCTACCACCAAGAGAAGAGGGACAGGAAGACCAAGCGAGGAGGGAAGGACAGAATGACACAGCAGGAGCAACCGCTGCAGAGACTGAATGCACGCTCTGCAGGGGACTGGCTCTGATAGGCGAGCAGGGAGGCTGCCTGCTAGTTGGCAGTGTAACCCAGCTATGTTGGCTATTCCCTTCTCTGACAGAGATAGCACAAGAGATCAGAGACTCAAGCCCTTAGAAAGAGATAATACAGGAAGGATTCATATACAGCTGCTATCCTTGAAAGCTAAGTCCAAGTCCTTCAAAGATTTGATGTGTTGTGCTCTCTGAAATTTGTCTGTATTGGCTGTGGACTTGTCAAACTCTGTTTAATTCTTCTATCTGCACCAAAAAGACTTGGCTGCCTTTCCACTATATGAGCTTACACCTATGACTGCTCTTTATAACCTGGGATTTGGACTGAATTTATTATAAACCTCACTGATTCTGAATCATAGACTCACAGGCTGGAAGGGACCACTGGAGGTCTCTCATCCAACCTCTTGCTCAAAGCAAGCTTAACCATGAGTTCAGACGAGGTCTCTCAGGGCCTTATATCAGTCTTTAAAATCTCCAAGGATGGAGACTGCATGAGCTCTCTGGGCAACCTGTTCTCCTGCTTGACTGTCCTCATGGTGAAAAAGTTCCTCCTTATATCTGAACTTCCCATGTCTCAGCTTCTAGTTCTCCCACCTTACACCCTTATTAAGAGTCCATTTCTGTCCTCTTGTATTCCACAGGTAGGTACTGTAGGGCTGCAGTTTAGAGTCCCCAGAGCTCTCTCTTTTCCAGGCTGTACATCCCACCTTACTCAGCCTCTCCTCATGGGCAAATAACCCAACCTGGCCACCACAGTTTCCCTCAAGCTCTCTCTTTTCCAGGCTGTACGTCCCACCTTACTCAGCCTCTCCTCATGGGCAAATAACCCAACCTGGCCACCACAGTTTCCCTCCAATAGATGTAGCCATTTCTGCCATTGGGGCAGCAACACTGGTGGACCTGGCTGGTGTAGTCACCCTTCTGAATCCATCAGTTCTCAAATAAATGTTTTCATTGCTGCCAAGGTAACCTGTCTGGCCTACTTTATGCATGTTACCGTGCCAGCTCACATTGGTCTGAAGTTGTTTATATAAACAGCAGAGCACTCCCCAGGGAGTTCAGCTGCATACTGTTTGTCCAGTGACCAGCATCTCCCAGTTCTGTGACCCAAAGCTGCTCAGGCAGCATCTTGAGATGCCAGATGGCCTAAGGACCATCTGCTGTGCACTCCCCAGGGAGAGATGTAGGTCAGTTTAATGCACAAAAATGCAAACAACTGGGAAGTGATAGGCTGGTGCTGGAAGTGGCAGGCGATGCTATGAGAAAAGAAATGTGACTTTGGTTTCAGTTGAAAATAATAAAGCTAAGAACAATGATAGGACTAAAAATATGTGTATACTACAATGATTCGGAGTAATTCCTTAAACTGACCCAGTGCGGACTGTTGTGCATCACTAGAGGATCCAGAAATGTTCCATAACCATATTTGATTTATAAGGGATATAAGAGAAAACTGCACTGGGCAGCTCATTATCCAGAAGAGCTGTCTCAGAAATGTTCAGTACATTAGGAGCATCCCAGTCTTTCACTACTGAGGACTAAAGGTGTAGTTATATTTGTAGAAATAGTTATCTGCTTGGAAAAGGCAGCTCATATTATCTGGGGATGTGTGGGTATTGTGGTTTAGTGAAAAAGCAGTTCTTCAGACCTTCTTCAGACACTAGTGGTGCTCTTAAAGAAGTCACAGATTTAAGGACAATCAAAAGGAGCTTGCAAGGTCAGGGACTTCTGCTGAGGATCTTTTGGATGGGTTTGGAAACTGGATGGAAATGTTTTGAGAGAAGATAAAACTCTGTGGTTTGTTATATGGCAGAGTGAGTGAACAGAATACAAGTGAAGATAAGAGTGTGCAGGCTCCTTGTTTTGCTTCTGTCTTGACTGGAGAATTCTCCTGTTCCAGGCCCTTGTTCATTTTTCTTTTGAAATAAAATCAGCTCCAGGGTTTCTGGGATCAAAATGCACAACTGATTTACCAAGGAGCTAAGCAACAGCCGAGCTGCAGAAAGTCACTCAAGCATATTCTCAGTCCTTGGCAAACATAAGGCAAGACATGTTCAGCTTCACCCTCTTTCACTGTGGTTAAGGCTATTATGTGATAGCTCGTGTTTGCAACTGACTAACAGCATGCACACGGACCGTTTTCACAGCTCAGATGACATGCAAGTATTCAGTACGCAATGGTAACTCGGTTATGTATCTGAGCCATTAGAAAGTACTGATAATAGGAAATTAGTTGAGACCATCATTATAAAAATTAGCCACAAGAAATCCAAAGCTATGTGTTCTGAACTGTTCCTAAGTATCCAATAAGGAAAACAGCTTCTGGTAGTCAGGAAATGGAACAGGGCAAACAAAATCCTTGTTCCTGAGTACGTGGGTAGCATGTATGTGCAGGTCCTGAAGATTATAAGGGATCTGCTGGATTTTGGCCTGTGAATTGAAACAACCACCTTAAGAATGAAAAGGGGAATTCAGGCACTGAGAAATTTAGAGAGCGTGTTGAAACTGTCACGCAGTCAACGTACATGCTGAGAATGAAGGCATTCTGAATGTGCATGCTGGGATGGTTACATCTGATGAGCTGAGACTAAACCTGAGGAGAGAGCATGCTGCAAACACTCTCTGTAAAACCTGCACTGCTTTTGAGGTTTCTGCTTTTGGAATGCCTAGGGCTTTTCATGTCCCTGTTTAGGGTAAGAGAAAGAAAAGCTTTCTCTAATCCATGTGAAAGAAGAAAAATGTACCTTCCTCATTTTAAAGATAGACCACTTCTTGATAATTTCCTGTAGTGAGGCTGAATTTTTTCTTTAATTGTGTTCTGCCAGATGGCTTACATATCCATAACCAGCACTGTGGCATTTTTACTGATGTCATTGGTAATGTTACACAGAAACTGCTCACCTTGTAGCCTGTGCCTGGATTAAACATAATCATCAGCAGTATAAAGCTACTGAAGAAACAGATTTCCCAGGGGGGGAAAAAAATATCTAATAAGTAATTTTTACCTACACTTATCATTTGCTTGATATGACATTCAGTGAATTCAGCCTTACCAAGTTCACCATTAAGTAAGTCACTGCTGTTGAAGATTTTTGATTTTTCTTTCTTTCTTTTCTTTCCATATATATATACATATATATATACATGTATATATATATGTATATATATACTTTTTGTCTTTCTTTCCACAGGCTGTTTTACTTACCTGCAACATGCAGCTCTCACCTGCTGATGCTCCCCCCTCCCACCAACACTAAAGACATTGGTATTGAAATGCCTACTACGGGGGGAGGGGCGGGGGGGGGGGGTGGGTTATTCATTTAGTGTGCCATGGGAAGCTTCAGGTTCAAGACCTAAGTTCAAATGTAGAGTCTCCCTTTCAAATGTTCAAGGGCTTTATAAAAATGCAGACTCTGTCTGCAGACAATACTGTGTTGGTTAAAGCCACTTAAAAACCTTTGAGGGTTTTTCTTTTTCCTCCTGAATGAGTTTATCTACCACTTAAGGCCTAATATCCCCTAGAAGCCATATGGACTGATTTGGCCAGCAGGCCTGTCTCTTTATAGAAGGTGAAGAGGCTGCATAGGGTCTCCTGCCTTCTGCACTGGCCAGAAGAGAGCATTTGCACCCCTTTGCAAATTATAGCTGCTTGGCTAGCAGCACAGGAAAATCTGGAGACAACTGTTCCTTATCAAGTCATATGGGTTGTTGCAGACTGCAGAGGACTACCATGGCCTGGCACTTCAGTGCCAAATCTGTATCAGGGAGAGTATCATTTCTGGATTTTAGCAAGGAAACAATATGGAGGAGTTCTTCACTGCTTTCCTGCTGAACAATTTTTTATTTATTTTTGGGGAGATACAAGTATTTTGAATTATATTGTGCCTGGGCAGAGTCATTTCCTGTAATACTACCACTTCACCTAATTATATTGGAAATAAAATTGATCCATTCTGTTTAAACATGTACTATAATATACTTACACTATTATATACTTTCATAATATATTTATACCAGGATAATGAACCATAATATGTAGTAGCAACCATGTATGTAAGATATATAATGAAAGTATAACATAAAGTAGTTTGGAAATAGCTCTCATAAAGGTCTTGAGAGATCATAGTGATATGTCCAAAAGCGTACTGATATATACACAGTGGTCTAAAAGTCAGAATCTTGCTGAATCTGGCAGTGTTCCCCTGCTGTGGAAAAGGAGTGTTGTGAGAAGAGTCCTACGAGGTCCCAATGCCAACTCTGTCAAGACTGATCTCCACTGGGTTTAATTTATTTCTATAGAAATGTTGTAAGCATCTGGACTAATCAGAGATTTTGCATGGTGATCTCTTGAGAATCATTTCTCTCTTGATTAGTCCTTTGTCAAAAAAAAAAAAAAAAAAAAAAGACACACCAAAACTAACCAACCAACTAAACAACCAAACAAACAAAAAAACAAACACCATATTTTCCTTTATTTACATACACAAAGCAGGTACTCCGTACTGCATCCATTTCCTACAGATTTCCTCACTCCAAATCAGTCTCAAAAGGGTTGAGAGGTTATGATTTGCCTCCTAATAAGATTTTATGTCCTGAAGGGCTTGTCATATACCTAAGGTTTGCCAGGTTTTCTCTTTACACCTCAAAGATCCTGGCCACAAATTGCAGTTAATAACACAGGCAAATTAGCTGACACAGAAAATCCCAATAGGCAATAGACATAACTATTTTAAGCAAATAATTTAATTCTTAATCTACATCAGAAAGAATATAATTTCTGAATTTTAGCAAGGAAACCTGTCTAAGAATCCAGAGGAATTCCCCATGGTTTGCCTTTAAACAGTTTTTGATTTATTCTTGGAAAGATTCAAGTCTTTTGAAACCTTAAGAGCAAACAAAATCAATTATCAGGGTTTCAATTTTCTCCAGGCAATTTCCACCGCTTCAGCTTGCCCAAGAGATAGAGTCTCCATAAATACATTATGCTATGCACTATTTGA